CAAAACAAACAAAACAAGCAAGAAGAGTGTGAACATAACCAAAATTACATCTTCCAAAGGTAAGTACGAGTGTTTTGGTAACCAACATTCCAGCCTTTTTACTCTGTGTTTAAGTCATACCACAACAAAAACTCTTTTTTTTTTTTTGGGGGGGGGGTAGAAAGAGACTCTCTCTCTCTTTCTCTCTCTCATACACATACACCCTGAACAGAAAAAAAGGAAATGAGATCACACAAAACCCATTCTGAAAACTGCTTTTCCTACTTAATAACAGCATCTGGAACATAATTCTCTAATGGCTTCATAACATCCCACTGTGTAGGGGAAAAAGAACATAACTTACTAGCCAATCCCTCATACTGGACATGTGGTATTTCCAAGTTTCCTTCATCTTGGACACTGCAACTAGCATCCTTGTGTATACATACCAATGGAGTACCTGTCCTGTTATTCTCTTTAAAGTAGATCACTGAGTTGAATTAAGAGATAAAGGTGAAGCCTGTTTAAACATTGATACCCACTGAGAGGCAGTTCTCGAAATGTTGCAACCATTTGTGACATGTTTAAAAGAAAATAGTTTATGTACTAAGGCATTTGCAAATACACAATGATATTTGCTTAAAGCATCCCAGCAGGGGGCCTGCACTGGTGGACGTGGTGTTCTCCAGCTTCAGCAGCCACAGGTCACCTCGCCCCTGGGGCCTAGCGCAGCACAGATCAACAGGCTGTGCATTTCTAATACATTTTCAGATGGTCTCGATGCTCGGTCTGGGGAACTACTGGTACAAATAAAGTGACATTGGCAATAAACATGGATGAGGGGTCCATAGAGGTTCATCCGTCTAGTTACAATGTATGTGTTTGCTTAAAATTTTTAATTCAAAGTTCAATAAAGTTCTCAATAGAAAAGAAGAGTTTGTTTACCACAGGCATCATGTGCTCAATTTCCTCAATGGAACAAACCAGCCAAGGAGCTGAAACGCMCAATGGCCGTCCTGTAGCACTGCTGATAGCAGGTCTTCTTGGCTCTGAGAACCCCCA